ACACATATGTATATATATACACAAATATGTTTATATTGTGAATATGTATGTGTATGTATGTGTACACATTTATACACATGTATGTATGTATATACACATGTAAGTACACATATACATATATGTATATATACACATGTGTATATTGTATGTGTATGTATATGTACACATTTATACACACATATGTATATATACACATGTGTATATTGTATATGTGTATGTATATGTACACCTTTATACACACATATATATACACATATATGTATACATACATACACATATCTATATATATTATATATATGTATATGTTGTGTGTATATGTGTGTGTATGTATGTATGTATGTATGTGCATGTATACACATGGAGGCCAGAAGTTGGTGTCTGGAGTCTTCCCCAGTCATTTTCCATGTTTTTTTTTGACATAGGATCTTCCACTGAACGTGGAGCCCACTGATTGGCTACAGTGTTTGTCCAGGAGCTCTGGGACCATCCTGCCTCTGCTCTCCCAGTGCTGGGGTTACACGTGTGCCTTGCTGTGCCCAGGTTTTACCTGAACGTTGGGGACTTAAGCCCAGACCGTGACATTCACAACAGAAAGTGATTTACTGGCTCCCTGGCCTCACGGTTCATGTTCTCATCCGTGTCTCTGCTAGACTGTACAGCCAGAGCGTCATTTCCCAAGCTGCAGCTTCCTGAACGAGGTTACACCCCAGGGATGCTCGGTAAACATTTGTGGATGGAGGAATAGGAAGTGGGAGCCAGCCCTCCCCTGCTCTTGTATTCTATGTAGCATCGTCTTGTTACCCATCTGAGGAAGGTAGGCAGCCTACACACCACACACTGGCAACCATGATCTGCCCTTATCTCCTTCTTTTACACACGTCTGCCCCAAGCTGTGCTTCCAGAGACTGTCTGAAGATCATAGCTATGGCCGCCGCTGCCTGCTCTAGACAGGGGTCTTGGTTGATGGACGGGTTACTGTGGAGTGACTGTAGAGAGGTGACGGTAGTGGTGGTGGCCGCGGTGATGGTGGTAAGAGCTTGTGGAGATGGTGAGGTTGATGACAGTGGTCAGGATTGTGGTGATGGTAGTCACAGTGATGATGGTGATGATGGTGGTGGTGGTTATTGTGTGGTGCTGATGATGGTGGAAGGGGGGTTATAGATTGTGGGGGTGACGGAGATGATCGTAGTGATGGTGGTGAGGGGTGGTGGGCAGCGTAATGATGCTGGTATGTGTGTGTGTGGGGGGGGGTGTCTCATATACTGCAGGATGTTAAGCGGTACCCCTGGCCTCTTCCTGCAGATGCTTGGAGCACCCACCGCTGTCACAACCAAAACGTTTCCAGACAAACCAGATGTCCCCGGGGTAGGGAGTGGGAAGAACTGCACACGTGCTCTGAAGACATATTAAGCCCTGCGTGCGTTTCAAGCCTCTCGAGGTGACCTGTGTGTTATCTGGCAGCTGTTTTGAGACGGCCAAGCTGCCCTCGGTCCTACATTAGAACTGCTGGGTTAGAGTGAAGCCCCAGTGTCTCCATGGTAACACCGCTCAGTTCCCTGGTGTTCCTCCAGCCTCCCTAGCACACCCCCCTTCCGCTTCAGGGCCGGGGGTGGGGTGGGGAATGGGGTGGGCGCCCCTCAACGCAGCAGCTCAGCAGCTGTGAGGATGTGTCTGCTGGACAGCTCCCCGCTCCCTTCCCACCCCGAGCTAGCCGAGGCTTGCCCTGCAGGCTCTGTCTCCTGGCACTGACTCTGTCCGGGGGGGTGGTCTCATCTGCTGCCCACCAACCCCTGCTTTCTTCTCTCCAATTAAGAGACCTCCTGGCAGCAGCCAGAGGCAGGAAAACAAGGCAGTTCGTCACTTAGCTTCCATTACCAACCTGGGTCACGTGGCTGGCTCTTTTAATGGCTGTTGTCATGGCAACGGGAAGCCAGTCCCCTGCTCGCTCTGGGAACCAAAACAAAATTAAGGGGTGGTGGCAGGGAGGGGAAGACGTGCCAGGGGAGGAGACAGCTTAGAGCTGGGGTGGGGAGGGGGAGCTTTAGATGGAGGAGACAGCTTCCCTGTGACACTGACCCTGGCCCAGAGGAGCACAGGTGACAGACGTGGTAGATGCCAGGTGACAGGGTGGATGTCTGCACATAGCTTATTCTGCCCACTGAGTCACCTTCATCCCTATTGTGACCAAAAAATGGACACCCAGACACTGGCAAAGATAAAGACAGATGCTTCTGGGAGACTGTGCAAGCTTTCTGTTTGGGTGGCATACCCCCGCCCTTCACCTGCCATATTCTCCAACCTTTCCATGGTTCACCTCTTGTTCCTTGTGGGGGATGGCACCTGTGTTTCTAGCAGGTTCCCCCTCTCTGCTCCAGCTGCCTCTGCACCCTCAAGTTCAGCATGTACCTGCAGCTCGGCCCTCTGCGTTCTCTCTCTCTCTCTCTCTCTCTCTCTCTCTCTCTCTCTCTCTCTCT